AGTCTTCTCAAACTAAACCATGCCCAGTTCTGTGGGTCTCAAACTTTTTTTTTTTTTACTGGCGACCCCTTTCACATTGCAAGCCTCTGAATGCGACCCCCCCCCATATAAATTAAAATTAAAATTTTAATTATTATAAATTAAAAACACTTTTTTAAAATATTTAACACCGTTATAAATATTGGAGGCAAGCGGGGTTTGGGGTGGAGGTTGATAGCTCACGACCCCCCCATGTAATGACCTCGTGACCCCCTGAGGGCTCCCGACCCCCCGCTTTGAAAACCCCTGTGCTAAGGCCAGATTTATACTATAGACCTATATCCGTATAACGACGTCACCCCTGAGCAATGTAGTTACACCACTGACCTAACCTCCCCCCCCGCCCCCGTGTAGACAGCACTCTGTCAATGGGAGAGCGTCTCCTGCCGACAGAGCTACCGCCTCTGTGCCAGTGTAGCGCGGCATGTGAAGACAAGCCCTGACTAATGGAAGCCATTTCTGCTGGGCCTGTGCTGGTTGGTAGCTGTTACTGAGCACTCTCATCATTAGTCTTAAAGCACTTTCACAAAAGAGGGTAAAAATCATCCCTATTTCAGAGAGGGGGGAAACGACTTGCCCAAGGCCGGGTCCTTGGCAGAGATGGTAACAGAACCCTCCTATGATACCCCAGGCAGTTCCTTTTCCATTGGACCATGCTGCCCGTTCGCCTTCAAATCCTAATTTGTGCAAACCAATGTGCGGAAGACTTTGATCAGAGGGTCTTAGTTTTTAAGACTCCTACAGTAACTGGGCTAATGTATTTCAAAGGCACCCAATCAGCTGAGCGTCCCTGCATTTGTAGCTCTGAGCGTGGGGTTTGCAAGAGGTCAGGATGGGGGTAACACACAATGGATCTGTTGGCTTTTAATTTGGTCTCTTGTCCCACCTTCCAGCTCCAACACTATTTTCTCTTCATTTCTCTTCTCACCCCACTCCCAAATCCCTGTGCTAGAACCTTGTTTATAAACATACAAGCTAAACTCCACCCATGCTGCTGCCAGGCAGGAACAGAGCAGGCTTAGAACCCCCCTATTCGCTACATGGTCCCCAGTAGCACCACTCTAGCTATAAAGAGAGAGCAAGTGATTTTTAACCCTTGCCGTTCCCGCTTCAGATCGCGCTGGGCTTAGCCTGCCTGACCTAAATAGTTATGCAAGGAGACCACTTAAAAGCTGCACTGCAAATCCGGCTGACCCACTGCCCACAGCTTTCACCGCTAGTCCCTCCAGGGCATGTTTCCTTGCTTGGACTGAAGGGCCGAGGAAAGTCCCTTGTTACGACAGCTTACAGCCTGCCCGGCTGCGAGCTCTCTCATGCACCTGTGGCAGTGGGCTTACCACAGCTCTCCCTGAGCTGGCTGCTATCATTAACTGTGCTTGGGTAAGTCTGCACCAGGCTGGGATTATGGGCCTATCGTGTTTACATCAAGGGAGCCTGGGGCTAGATGAGTGCTAGGGTAACCCTTACATCCATCGCACTTGCCCGGGTATCCCCATCGAGTGGCATTCCACCAGTACACACTGGGAGCAGTAGAGAATCCGTCCCATAGACTAGAAGATTTTGCTCTAAAGCATAGAATCCAAATACAGAAGAACGCAGTAGGGCATGGCTGTTCTAGTGCTCCGTTGTTCACAAATTGGTGCAACAGCTCAGACGGCGCTGGCACAATCTCCTGGGAGGGCTGGGGGTAATTCACTGCCCTCGTGAGCAGCTGGGACAGAGGGCTTCCATGCCTCCGGGCTCAGAAAAGGGCTAATGGGGACGATGTACTTTTCCGGCATGTTGTACCAGGATCAGAGAGGGGAGTTCTGAAGCCATGTCAGCTGGATGCTGAGTGTGCTCCCGCACGTCAGAGGCAGAATCGCAGTGGGACCAGGCCAGAGCGGGGAAGGAGTGCTCTCGTGGGCCAGGCTTTCTCTGCTGGTGAGAACGATGAGCCAGCTGGCAATGCGGCAGCAGCAAGCTGGCAAACACCTGGCTCATGCAGAAGGCAGAGAATGCAAAATGCCTGGTCTCGAATGATCTGCTTTCAAGGTTACTGAACAGAGTTAGGATATTTGTGGGGGGAGGAGAGAGAAATGAGGGGCTGGTAGCACTGACTCCAGGGTCGCTAATGCCATGTGTTCAAAAATAGTGAATCAGGCCCCCCAAAATCATGAGATTTGGGGGGGGGGGGAAGGAATAAAACGCAAACTTGAGTCTCTTGTCTTTTGAATTTTTAGCCTTTGGGCTAATGCTTGGGTCATGTTTTCAAGTTTTTCTCTGCAGCCAGCAAGGCTAGAAACCGTTTTTATGAATGCAGAGGTTCACAGTAATCCTGTGACTCCCGGAGCTGGGGCTTTAATTAAATCATCAAATGCCATGAGACTCCAAGAGTTAACACTGTAATGCATCTCTGCTGGTGCTCCTGAGTCCTACCCAGGGCATCCTCTGCTCACCTGGTCTCTGCCCAGAAGAAGTTCAAATGAAGCAAAAGTAGGCCAGTCCCAAATGAAGGCTCCGTGTCTACTAGGCGTGTGGAAGAATCAGACTAGCTCATTTCAGTCATGTCAGGGTTTGTGTGAGGTGCATGCAGTAACCACTCCTGCTCCTCGGCCCTTTCTCTTATGCGTGTTCGATTTACAGTTCCGTAGTGTTGCTCAAAGTTCATTTTAATGCTAGAGATTTTGCTACCAAACTTCCCACTCATTGCTCTTCCTGGTGCTGCTCACTTCTTAAAGTTTCCCCCACCCCGCAGTGGCAGCGTTGGCTGGTTGGTGAGTGGCCTAAATAGCTGCATATGTGCTTGTGCTCTAGGGCACAAAGAGGAGATGTGGGCCCCTGCCCCTAAGAAGCAGCTTCCAATCTAAATAGATACCCCCAGCACTGCACGAGATGGAAGGGGGGGGGCAGAGAAGTGCTATTCCGTGAGTGCACTAAAGGTTTATAGATTATGGCCAGGAGGGACCATTACATCCTAGGACAGACTGTGCTCGTTACTAGCTGCCCCAAAGTCTACACCCATCCTGTGTTTCAAAAGCAAGGGATGCTGACTGCAGAACTGAAGGGCTTCCGTCATGTTGCCTTCAGAGAACAGCCTCTGCAGAGGGAAATGCTCTCTTGTCTCCCCAGACTGAACCTGAAGAGAGCTGGAGGGGACGGCACTGACCCCAGCAAATGGGGAGTTGTGCCATCCCTGTGTTTGTAGCGCATGTGAATGGGCTGCCCGGTACGATGCTGTCTACTCGGCCACCACTCCAGTGTAGCACCCACACCTGGGCTCTCCTCCTGTGGACTTCCTGAAGATGCTCTCCTAGCTGCCTTTGCCGTAGGGTTAGAGTGTCCACACACTTCCATGAGTGTCTACACACTTAGTAGCCATGGAACAGGATTAAATGGTAAATGGAAGCTGAAGTGATGGCTGGCTAAATTCTGCGGTGGTGTAGAGCTTTCTCTCCTGCCCCCCCTTCGCTACCCTCCCCCAGCCTAGCACTGGGGACCCCGTCGTTTGAGAAGGGTAGGTGAGTGACCTTCACCAGCCAGTTTGCTGAGGCTTCTGTTGAGCTGGGAAGAACTTCTACTGTGCGCCCCACACACACCATGTCCCCAGTGCTAGGCTGGGTGATTTTAGCTAGACTGGGGCAGGAGAGACCATAATGTATCATGTTCTTTCACACTCGGTTGCTCCAGATAGAACCGTGGTGTAACCACTCTCCTGCGCCTATCCTGACTGACTAGTCCACAGGCCTTTATGGAGATATACCTATCTCATAGAACTGGAAGGGACCCTGAAAGGTCATGGAGTCCAGCCCCCTGCCTTCACTAGCAGGACCAAGTACTGATTTTTGCCCCAGATCCCTAAGTGGTCCCCTCAAGGATTGAACTCACAACCCTGAGTTTAGCAGGCCAATGCTCAAACCACATACCTTACAAACTAGAGATGGCCGAGACTTCTGATGATCCACTCCCTTTCCCTACGAGTGTGCTGGCTCATTCTCTACAGGACACTTTCTGGTGGGAATCTTGCTTTCGATGTCTGGAGAGTCCCACTGCTTCCGTGCGGAGACGATTCCAGAATGGAAATAGGTCTCATGGTCTGAAAATGTTTCTACTATTCAGCTTCAGTGTCCTTTCTTGGTTTCATCTCCTTCCACTGAGCTCAGAGCAATTGCCTAACGTGGGGGTCGTAGTTCTGGACCCACGCCAGGTTAGTTCTTTGAAAACTGGAAGTCTGCTTTGAGTGGGTGTGACTTCCGATGGCTTTCCTGCTGCTATGGTCAAGCTGCATGTACTGTAATCTGTGCGTAGTCGTCAGTTCACGTTGCCAGGCATGTCTCCAACTCCACAAGCACCTTGGGCTGGAGGCGAACCTCTTCAAAGCCTTTGTCTCTGCTTTGTTGAGCTGCAACGTCCAACCCTCCTGGGCAGCATCGTAAGTCAAAGCGCTTGATAGGACTAGTGGTGGGAGATTTGCCGCATGGTTATGATAAAGAACAGCTTAGACCAGGGGACTAGGAGGTGGGAATCTTGGTTTTTGTTCCTATCTCTGCCACTGAATTGCTGCGTTGGGCAAGTCCGCTTGCTTTTCCCTGTCTGTTACATGGGGATAATGGTGCACGAGTCAGACATGTTGTGATCTTTGGGTAGCACTTGAGGATCCTTGGATGGAAGTCACTGTAGAAGTGTGAAATGTTGATCTCTCTAGCAGCATACGGCTGAGAAGCAGGGGCTCCCACTGGCCCTCTGGGAAGTGGGTAAAGGAAGTGCTTGTTGTCTCTCCTTGCAACCAGCACTTAAAGAACTAACGTGCCTCCAGGGGGTCTCCACAGTGCACAGACCCATTAGCGGGTATCTGCGATAAATCCATGAAATGACCATTACCTCACCTTCCCCCTAGAGAGGAGACTGATCAACCTCCTCCCCTGTGCAATCAGCAGTGCGGGCCAAGAAATCTAGGGTCTAACTTCTTTTTCCCCCTTTAGCCTGAGTAACTCCTCCTGTTTGAGATGTCGTCCAGCGATAAGAATGGGGGCAGCCGGTCGAGCACCAGCAGCAGCCGCCTGCAGAGCAGGAAGCCCCCCGACCTCTCCATCACCATTCCACCAGTGGAGCTACAGGAGGAAAGCAACCCACAAGTGGTAAGGGGGGATCCCCGATGTCCCAATGCCTGTTGGTTCCCAGTGACCCAGGAGGGGGTGCTGGGGGAGCAGGGGCTTTCTTTGTAGCAGTGGCAAGGGACTAGGGAATGCTGCTCCACTGGGAGCCTGGTCGAGCCCCAGCCCAGCACCCATCTCCTGTCCCATTCGGATTAGATTCAGCCCTGAGTGCTGCCGTTTCCCAGGCTGCTGCCCAGCTGGTTGCTCAGGATGATGTGCATTGACAGCCCATCTCCAAGGGGTTAGTTATTCCCCCATTAGCTGCCCGTTATGAAGTGGCTTTACGGGGCTCCCTCCCCACAGCATTGCTCCTCATCCCTTCAGCCAAGGGTTGGGAGCAGGAGCTGTCTAAGGGGCCTGGGATGTGCCAAAGGGTAGGCGGGTGGGGTGGGGGACTCGGTTTTGGAGTGGAGTTCTTGAAGCTGCTCCTTGCTTCCCCATGCTGGCAGCACATCTGAACGTGGGACCCTTCTGTCAAGCTCTTAATTTAATTTAAGGTCAAACATAGGGCGTGCCTTGCGCGAACCCGAACATGTACGTAGGGGGTTGAGCCCTGGTGAGAAGTAGGTCAGTCTCTTGGCTGACAGCTCTGCTCCCCCCCGCCTCCCTTAACAGTGGGTTGTGGGGGGGATCCCAGCTATACACAGAAATGTGTTCCCCTCCCCAGCTCTGCTCCTAACAGCTTGGCTCCCCTTCCAGCCTCTGAAAAACCCAGTGTATCAAAAGAGCGTGAGCCTACAGGAGCCCAGAGGGAAAAGGGATGAGAACGCGTTGGAGAGACGTCCCGGCTTCCACAGACAGACTTCCCTGACCCAGAGCATCCGCAAGTAAGGAGCATGCAGCACTGGGCGTTACAGCACCACGTGTCGGACGCTGCAGCACCTGGGGCTAGGCTGTGGGGAGGGAGTTGAACAGATTTGGCTCCCTGCTTTTCTGGTCTCTGCCCTGGCTGCAGACGACGCGCTGCAGGACCAGGCGTGGAGGTCAAAGCTGCGTGTGTTAGAATCAGGAAGCTGAAATAAGTTAACCAGGTCCCATGTTGGGTTTTCATCTATTTGTGTTTTGCCCGGCTGGTCGCTGTTCCGGGAACAATGCCAGTCTCCTCCATTAGAATTCAAACTTGTGCTTTTAACAGATCAGTGCCAAAAAGCAAGAGGCCGTTTCTCCGTAGTATTTATGTGGGGCTTTCACAGGCGCATTCACTTGTGCTTCTGTTTCAGCACCAAGCGAACAAGCCTGTTCCCAGTGCGGTGCAGGTACCAGCGATGTCGCCAAGAGGTCTGAATTTCTGGCATCCCCTGCTATTGCAGGCCTGGGCACCTCCAGAGCAGAGACTGCCAGCTGAGCTAAACTATGGCAGGCTTCTGTGGGTGAAGTGGCTAGGCTGGGGTCAAAGAACTCCTTTCACTTGTTGTGTGAACGGTTTGAACATCACATGCACCTTGTGTGTTCTTAGACCCTTAATGCCACATCCACGCTGCCATCGGGGGCGTGATTGCAGCGCAGGGATCACATTGTAATGCACGTTTGGAACGACGAGCGGTGGCGGCAGAACCTTTGGATGTGAGAGGCCACCTTCCTGGATCCGTGTGCAGAGCTCGCCCCATGCCCCCAGCACAGGGAGCCCAGAATGAGAGCTGCATTGACAGTGGAGAAACAAGCAGCGACCACAGTCCAGAAGTTTGCAATGGGAAAGCATTTTGGCATTGAGAAATTCAGTGGGGACCACTCTCTCATGCAAGTGTATAGCGCCATGAATCGCAGGACTGAGACTCTCTGCAACGTGCAGGGGCTGCTAGTGGATGGATTTGCAGCAGTGGGGTTCCTGAGCTGCAGTAGGGTGATGGACAGCACTCGTATCCCTATTTTTGGCACCAGCCCACAGCAACAGAAAGGGCTACTTTTCTGTGATGATGCGAGTGTTGGTGGATCACCAGGGTCGCTTCACCAATATCCGTGTGGGTTGGTCAGGGAAGGTGCATGATGCTCACCTCTTTAAGAACGCAAGACTTTCCCAAAAGCTGCAGGCAGGGGCATTCTTTCCTAACTGGCGGATGTTGAAATGCCAGTAGTGATTCTGTGCGACGCAGCCTATCCTCTTTGCTCCCATGGCTTGTGAAGCTGTGCACCAAGGGCTTGCTGTCTGAGAAGACCCATTCTGTCCTGGTGCATTTCCTGCTCCTTATCCTGCTGGGACTCTCATGCCTTTTTCCGGTCCTCTCTACCTTTCTCCATGCCATTGATCATGTTGGCTCTCCAGCCCCCTTTGTTCATGGGCGGATGCAGCATTGACTTGTAGGATCTCACAGAACATGTCCTCCCTAGTCCTCTTCTTTCTTCTCCACAAAGCCAGGCATTCTACGTGTGTGGATGGGTCACCCCCTCAATGCCACCAGGTCAAAATAGACCGATGTATCATTACATTTACAGTCACAACAGAAAGGGAAGAACCAACATCAAAACTCCCTCCCCTTATTCCCATAAATCCTTTTCATGAGAAGTGCCCGGTGATGGTTGTGCTGTGGAGCACCTCAGCTCAGCCCCGCCCCAGCCATGGTGAGTACGGCCTGCAGGGGCGAGGAGTTGAATTTTCTGTTTCATGAAGCTACAGAATTTCAGCCCCTATTCAGTATGGGTCTGAGTACAGGGCAAGGGCAGTAAATACTGGCACTGGCTTTCACAGGCAGTGGTGGTTTTTGTCTGATATATTTCACTTGGAAGGGGCACAATAGACCAGTGAGCCCAGCTGCTGTTGGAGTCCCGAAGCCGCCTGAGCCCATGTGCCTCTGGCCTGTTTCAATGGTGCTAGTGGGACTCCTCCCAGATGGCCTGGGAAAGTGTCCTTCTGCGGCCATGCCTAGAAACGCTAGGGAGAGGACTGCCTCCCTGACCATTACATCGCGATCTCTCCGGAGGATACGAGGGACATCCCTGTGTTCATAAACAGCTCCTATCCTCCCCTCCCGCCTAACCCAGCAGAGGAATGAAAAGCAGCTGCCTGCTCTTCCCTGCTCGTTGTACTGTTACCTCTTCTCAGACAACGAAAAGTCGATAACTTGGGCATGGGCCGGGCACCAGCTTTAAATTTAAACGTAGTAAAGAAAAATGCATGCGCGCACTTCCCCAAGTTCCTTTCCCCTTCATCCCTGGGCTCATCCATGCTCACATGGCGGGACTGGCTAGTCTCCAGCAGAGTATTCAACGGGTCCTGGCTAGCAGCATGGTTGGAGTCCCCTGCTGTGTCCCCTCACCCCCCATGACAGGGATTGTCATCTCAGGCTCCTCGGAGGCATTGGCAGCATCCTGTGAGGTGCTGGTGGGATCTCTGGTGAGCAAGGCATGCAATTTATTGTAAAAGCGTCAGATCTCCGGTGCAGCACCAACTTGACTGTTGCCCTCCCCAGCCTTGTGGTATCCCTGGCGAAGTTCCTTCACTTTCTCACTGTCCTGCTGCTGATCCCTGTCTGCGTCAGAACTCTTCGCCTGCATTCCCCGTGCAATCTGCTTGTAGATGTCCACGTGTCTGTGGCTGGTCCAAAGTTCTGCCTGCACAGCCTCTTCTCCCCACAGGCCCGGGAGATCCTGTCTACTCCAGGCACACTAGCTTGTCTACTACCTTGTGTGCATGGCGTTGGAATGGTCGTCTGGGCAGCTGCACACTGTGTGATGAAGTGGGACTTTCTGTAATATTTTTATGAATCCCTTGTGTGCCTCAGTTTCCCCTATATGCTGTGGTGTTACCTGGTGAGGGGGAAAAGGACTGTTTGCTCTCAGGGCAGGCTCCGAGACATGGGTATTAATGCTGCCTGCCTGGCTGAGCTTGAAATGCGCCCTTTAAAAAAGACTGGCTGAGACCAACCTCCCGTCAATGGAGGATACGAGAGGAGGATGACAAATCCAATCATCCAGGGCATTGACCCCTAGCCACCAAGGACCCAGCAGGAGGCAGATTTCCCCACCTCTCCTCAGGGAAGCTGAGCAACGTGCCCCAGCTGGAGAACAAAGGACTGGAGAGGTGTGAGGTGAGGGGGTAAGAGCTGGCTGCTGGAAGGAGTCGGGGTTCTCATCTGGAAACTGACCCAGGAGGTCAGACCAGAGCCTGAACAATGGCGTTCACCTAGCTTGGCTGGGCTCTGGGCTAACCAGAACGGCCTACGCTTTAACCTTCCTTTCTCTGTGCTACTCTAAGGACTTCACTGTCCTGCAGTTGACTAATAAACTCAACTGTTTTTTGATACCCCTTTGTGTGTGTCCCTGTAAATGCTTGGGGAGGTGTATTAAAATCTGCAGAGTGGACAAGTCTCTAGCAGGGGTCTGTCTCGATTGGACTCGTTGAACAGAGCTCACAGTGTGAAGCTGCAGTGCTGAAGCCCAGAGGTTCAGCAGTAGAAGGCAATGAGGCCACATGGCTCACCCTGTAGGAAGAGAGACCCCTTGGGGGTCTGGCACGCTGAAGGGGTCCTCCGAGGATGTTCCAAAGCTGGCGGTGTAGCACTGAGTCTCTGGATCCATGATGCACACAACAAAGGTGATCAACTAGGTTTGCTCATCCAGGTGGGCAATCAGGAAAAGTCAATTCAAAAATACGCAGGGCTTTTAAAGGGAATGTGGTGGGCTTCCAGTCTCTGAACCCCGGACAGTGGAGTTTACAATTGTGACCAGAGCAGTCACTGTTGCAGGGAATGGGGCATTGTGGGATAGCTGCTGGAGGATCTGTTAGGATCGACACAAGTCGTGCAGTATCTACACTCACTGTGTTGACCTAAGTAGGTCAATTAAGGCTCTACGCCATTCGGAGGGGGACGGGGGACGATCGTTTTACTACATTGTCGTAATGGGGCACTTGCATGAATCGGAGACACATTTGAGTGTAGACACTGGCATAAAGAGGTGCACTGCAAAGCGATTTATGTCAACCTAATTCTATATTGTAGACCAGGCTCCAGGTGCAATCACACACCCCAGATGCAGTGTGGACAATATCCAAAGTTGCTTATAGCTCTGGAGGTGGTAGTGGTGGTGTCTGAGAGGTGGATGGTGTAAACGGCCCAGAGATGGTCTATTTCAGATACTATTTTGCACTCCAATTCTGTATTTAAACGACTTGCCATGTTCTCTGTCGTGTGGACTTAGTCCCTTTGCACAGCGGCCTTTACATTCCTCCAGCAGAGGTGGGCACTATGTTTCTCTCAACGCTTGCTTCTGCAGGGGGACAGCCCAGTGGTTTGGTGTCAGCAGTGACTGGGAGGGAAAGCGGGAGGTCTGGCAACGCAAGAGCCGGCAGCACTGCAGCATTCGATATGGCAAGCTCAAGGCCCCCTACCGAGACATGGAGCTACCCAGTCAGGAGGTGCCCTCCTTCCAAGGCACCGAGTCACCGAAGCCATGCAAGCTGCCCAAGGTAAAACTCTCAGGGGTGTGACGGGTTACCCCCCACACACACACCGGGGTGCCACCTGATGTACTGGGGTCCCACTGAGCCTGCCCGTTCCACCAGCCTGGGCTCCCTCACCCTGTCCTGTGCCAGGCCCTCAAGTCTCCTCTGACACACACCCAGGTAGGGCCACACCCAACTGCAGAAAGACACAGACACTGAGATCAGCTCTGTGTGGGAAGACTGCTCAGGGATTGCCCAGTACTCAAGTGCACAACCCCTTTGCAATGTAAATCCCAAATTGTATTGTCTTGTGCTGCGCAGAAATCTGTACAGTGTAAGCTCTTGAAAATTGCCGCCTCCCTCAATGTGGAGGAATATATGCTCTCCCCCTCCCCGTTATGAATTGCACAAACTGGGTTTTAGAAAACAAAACCAGTTTATTAACTACAAAGGATAGATTTTAAGTGATTATAAGGGATAGCAAACCAATCAAAGTAGATTACTGAGCAAATAAAGCAAACATGCAAACTAAGCTCAAGACACTAAAGAAACTGGCTACAAGTAGTAATTTCTCACCCTAAATGTTGCTTTAAGCAGGTTTCAGAGATTCTTGAAGACAAACTTCTTTTGCTTGCAGCTTAGAATTCCAGATATTCCTTTCACAGACCAGACACCCTTTAGCCTGGGTTCAGCTCAGTCTTAGGTGTTTTTAGCAGTCATCTTGGGTAGGGATTCAGTGGAGAACTAACCCTGATTAACTCATTCCTCAG